TATTATGAATTATTATTATTATTTTGTTAACTTTTCATGATTTCAAATAGTTTTTTTTGTTTGTTTTGTATTTGCTCTTTGTCACTGTGCCAGCTTTACATTTACACAATAAAAACTGGGCGTGTGAATGCACAGGATGACCRCAGGGTCTGATGCAGTTCCCTTTTTCAAAGGTTGCTTGTATGCTTTAGGTTTCAACGTGACTAACTTCCTTTAAACCCCGTGAATGTCATTAGTCAAACGCTGTGAGTTACCAGGTATGAATACCTGAAATCAGTTGTTCCGTACGTTGACATTCGCTTGACTGCAACTTAATCCCCATGCCCTTCATTCGGCACTTTCTTTTGTYCTGTACTGTAGCTTTGTTTGTTTCTTCAACAAAAGATGCTCTGAGTTATGTACAGATTAAAGTGGCATGACGTAAAATAATGTGCTTTAGGTATCTCATCTGAGAACTTATTTAAAAAAAAAAACAACCTAAACAAGGGTTTTGTGTCTCATTGTTGCCGATATTGCATAAGTAAAATCTGAATGCAACTCAGAAATTACATAGAACTAACTTCATTGTAATATTTTGGCTTGCTACTTGTTACACAATATGCTTGTCGGCATTGTTCTTCCAGTAAAACTTATCACACCTTCTTTAGGTTATGTTGGACCTCGTAACCTACCCAGCGCAGGATTCTTCCCCTTCCTGGAGACCATCCTGTGCAACGCAGACAGCACCTGTCATAACACATCTCGCTTGGTGGACTCAACAGCATCAAAGCCCTCAAGAAAACGGAGGTAACTTAATATTACACCACATATTATCTGTCACATGACTTACACCCTGAAAAACCACTCAGTGCAACTTGTTCGGTGTGTTGTCGTACTTATCTATCGACAGTTCATTAATTTTATTGTTGTAAGTGGGGAAAAAAAAGGCAGCTGGTAGGGGAAAAAACAAGTTTGGATTAACTTCCAGTTTCGGTTAGTCAAGCCTTTCTTTGTGGAGTTCAAGAAAGCCTGATCAACCAGATTTGTTTTCAAGATCTTTTTCTAAGAATAAAGATAACCCTTATGCATAGGTTTTCTTCTTAGAAACAGGTATGTACAGTACTAAACAGTCAGGGTTCCCACTGGTCCTTGAAATCCTTGAAATTTAGTGAATTTGAAAAAATGATTTCAAGGCCCTGGAAAGTTTACGAAAACGGCCAAAAATTACACCTGTCCCTTGCATGTTTTTTTGGGGACTGAAGTTCTCTATTCACATGACTGATTTTCATCATCTGTAAAAAAAAAAATAAAAAATAAAATAAAATTAAATAAAAAAAACTTACATTTGTTGCAGTGGATAACTCAGGATTACAGTAAACTGATGTGGCTTTCAACAAATAACATGAGTCACAGTCATAGTTTTACCCAGAGTAGAGAAGGGCGGATCGTTCTTTCTGAGCCCAGGTGAGAGGACCACAGCTCCACCTGTCCTCCCCAAGCATCTGGACATGTTCACATCCCCTCCTCCCAAACTGAGCTGCTGAACCTCCCAGAACATAATTACATGTTCGTGTATTGTAGATATGAATGTAGGGTAAACACTTAATCCACTTTCTTTCATTGATTCTGACTCAAAATTTTTTATGTTGTTCAGTTTTTCATTGACTTTACATGATACCTGTTTATTGGTAACATTCTGCGGTAGGCAATTGCCTTGAAAGGTCCTTGAATTTGATGTTGACCAAGGTGTGGGAACCCTGTACACAAAAAACAGGAAATTCAATAAAGTTTATGTTGACTGAAGAAATATGAACATTTCTTTGATCTTCTTTGAAACAGTCAGTCCAAAACTATCAACACAGAGCATACATACGGGCCTAACAACATGCAGTAGTCAGGTTTAAAGGAGAAACTAATCTGATGGCTCGGCTTCTTTCTGGAGACCGCTGTTTGATGGAAGCAATGAAATGCTTTATCATCTAAGGGCATTTTCACTGAACAGTTCTGCGAAATGGTCACATAAACTAAATTGTCTTTGAGTTGCCACTGACGGTTCATCAGTCCTATAATATTGAGCCAGTCAGGTCCTGCATGAGTATGATCTTTGTGAAATGAAAAGAGGCGTGGAGTGAAACTCAGCTGATGTGGAACAATGACATCTTTCTTAGAAAATAAACTCAGCTTAGCGACCCCCTTTGTGGTTGGCCAAACATTTTAACTAAATACAAAGTTGCTGTGCGTCATCATCAGTCCTCTCCTCAGCGATAAATCCCATAGCTGGGTTATCACACAGACCTTATGTCATCCCTACGTCCCATCATGTGACCACAAAGATGGCTTTGCATTTCACACGCTGCATGTTATAGTTGTTACTAACCTGCGTAGTGTAACAAAGGTGCATCACAGTGGGCTGGCTTCAACCCCCTAACCACCTAAAAAAACATTGTAAGTTTCTGCTTTTGGAATACTGAGTAGAAAGTTTTCGGACTTTATCAAATTCTGCTGATTTTTGTCCCATAGGTCTGCCTCCACTTCAGAGTCTTCCCTTCTTGAAGGTCTGGTTTCAGGGGGGGCAGGGTTCGACCTTTCTCTCCTCAACGACCCTCGCAATGATCCTTCAGAGTTGGTTAACTTCATGAAAAGCTTTCTGGGTATGTATTTTCTGCTTTACAGACAATTGTGTGGACATTTGAGACTGTTCTTAGTTTTAATAAATATACCCACGTATTTTAAGTTAAGCTGGTTTACCGGTACTTMAAYACATTGTGAGACAGCGGATCAGTGATTACGTCATTTTGGACATCTTTCTGACCATTAACAATACTTCGTTCGTTCATTCATTCATTAACCATATTTAAAACCCGTTGAAATCGAGATATCACTTTCAAGGGGGACCTGGGCACAAATAGTACATATCATAAAAAAAGAGTAGTGAGTTCAGTGATAGCAGGAAATTTCGTTGATTTCAATCAATAATGTATCCGTGTTGAGTTGGGTGTGAAGTCTGAAAACTTATTTTTTTCCCTTGTTAACGGCAAAGCTATAAAGAAGGAGTAAACATGGCTGCATGTTCACATGGTCAATAGGATCTGACCAGCTGCTCATCAAAGCTGTGCATCTTGCTAATTTAACAAACTGCTTGTTCGAATTGATCATTTTCACCTAAATAACATGTAGAAAGGTGCTCTACTCTGAGTGCTGCTATGCAGAGCTGCTCTGCCCAACATGAACAAACATGTCCACGGTGTTCAGACAAATCTCACGCTGTCAGCCGCAAGGTCCACAGAACAGAGTTCTGGCTTGGGGAAATGCACACGACAGCTGTCCTCAGGGTATAGCAGATGAAAGTTACACAATTTTGGGGGGAAGGCAAGACATGCGAGTTGGAGGTTGAACCAGCCTTGAACTTTTATTCAAAAAGTGACATCATCTCCTATTACAACTTAAAGACATTATTACTGTGCTTACTTTACAAACTACTGTTATTGTGTTAACATTTTAGTGTCTTGAATTGTTATTTATTTGTTTTTACTTTAAAGGTTCTTCCTATCAAGAAAATGCAAAAAATTTCTCCATGAGTCCAGTCGACACAAATCTGACGGATCAGGTCAGTTTTGCCATGAGRCAATGGAAGAGTGGAAAATTGTTCCAATATTATGTTCAACTTTCAGATATTTACATTCAGTGCAGAAAGGTCCACTGACATATTGTACTTAGTAATGGTGTAAAAACCGAATAAAAATGTAAAAAAATTATGTCAGTTGTTCAGTGTTATTAACAGATAGGATTTTCTTAACTGGGGTTTGCGTGAATCTTATTCCTTTCAGGAAACCGTGAACAAAATACTTGAGTCTGTGAATGTTTTGAAGAGAGCCGTCTGCGCCGTCGCTCTGCCCTGGATAAAGGACGGAGCACCCGGCCCTGTCACCGATGCTGCAGTCGTTTTCTGCAACACCAACAGCACTTTGTTCGAAGTCTCCCTTCAAACATTGAACACAGTATGTTTGAGCTTACCTCTATGAAGTTTGTGGGTTTATGTTAGAACATTATTTTTTTTTTCTCTTTTGAAAAATACCTCTTTAACTGTTACCAGTGTTTTGTTTGTAACAGTTGTTTTCCTTGGTTGTCAGATATTGACTGAGTTGTTTGTGGAAAACCCAGACCAGATGATGACAGCTGCAGGGATGTCGGTGTTAACGTTTGATCAGCTGCAAAACGATACCTCTCTTTGGGAGAGCCTTCTAGCTATTCCTGAGATCTTATCTTCCTTTTCTGCCAACCAACCGCTGAACAGCACTGAAGTTTTACTGACAAATTTGCAAAGGTAACGTACTTATACAAATTTAAAAAATGTAGTTATTAAAAAAGTGAATTGGTGTAGACCTGCTTCCTTCCCAATTTGAATTTGACTTTTAGATTTTAGAAATCCTAGCAAAAATGAAACAATTTGAACATTCATATTTGCTTTCTGTCTTTAACACACACTTTCTTTAGTCTAATGCTTGCCATCGAGAAAAATTTCCCYGAAGCATCTGACTCCTTGTCAACAATTCACTCATTGCTTGATGGTGGACTCGGCGTGGTGAACTATGCTCAAAACTGGCCTGGAAAAGGCATGTRGTTTGAGAATTTTGAGAAGAATTTATGAAATTGCGACAAAACAGATGATCAAAATTTAATTTTTTGTTTGTGTTTTATTGTTTCTTTGCTTAGATGTTGCAATATCTCTTGGAGATGTTGTCGTTTTGCACAACGACACAATTAGTGAAATTGCAAAACGCATTCTGCAAGAGGTTCAGATACCACTTCACATGGTACGTACCATTATGGTTTCTCTTCCGRTGCATTTTACTTTTGGTATTTAGAAAGATGATAGAAAATCAGCAATGTTTGACTTCCTTCACACTTTTGTTTCTTTCCTAGGCTATTCCTCTGGCGTGGGATGTAGACATGGTGTATTCTAGCTTGTGTGGTGACAACAGTAAGACACTGTTGCTAACAGTAGCATGCAGTACTGGCACCCTGGACACGCTTCTCAGGTGGATTGACCCTGATACAGTGGTCATACAGGTAGGATGACATCTGGTTTGCTATTATCAGGACAGAGGGAATTACATGCATAAACACAGTTTGCTACAGGATGTATGTGGGTGGCATGTCCCTCCTTTTTTTTGTCTTTATTGCCGTGTCATCCTGCTGAGTAATCGAAATGGCATGGCTGTGTCTGTAAGGAAGCTGGTGGCCGTAGCAACATGCAATTACTGCCTAACACTTTGGAGAAAAACAAAAGAAAACCTCAAGGGTAACTTAGGCTACATTCACACTACAGGCAAATGTGACCAAAATCCATTTTTTTTACCGTATGTGACCTATGTCATATTTTTTCATGCCAAAATGTTTTTGAATCCTATTAGTTCTTTTTAGTGTATCTACTCAACCACGCCCACRTACACTCACACTGGAGGCACGTTTTTGTACGTCCACCCTAAATGGCTGAATCCTGTGTATTGGATCAGTATTTTAGTTAGTTTACATGTTGCTTTGTTCCGAAACTTGTATTGATATGCCTAAAAGTGTTCATAATCACCTGCAGAGCAAGTTTTATGGCACATTCTGTAGGTCCTATATGACATCTAACCCCTAAAGCCTGAATATGCAATCTTTTAGGAAGTATAATTGATGCACATTTTACCTTCTTGTTTTAGTCTTTCCTCCTTGTTTAATCTGTAGTCTGAAAATATCAAAGAGCATAATAAGTATGGTAGATGTCAACATGAGGTGGTGTAAAGCAGAGCAGTAAGTACTATGCAGAATTGTAGTGAGAATTTTAGGGATCTGTAAATATKAATTTGTGCTGTATAAAATGTGAARTWTGTGTATAACCCCACACGTTCAATGTAGACTCACATGAGTAAACAGAAATATTTATGATAGTAAAATGGAAGAAGTAAAGACTATGGGCTTGATTTAACAAAACTGCAGATAACCATTACTAAATACTATGTGCAAAAAAAAAGAAGTCTGTGGTAAAAGTGGGTATGTTGCGTGCGATTTACAAAGACTGCGTGTGCAAACGTACTAAATATAGACACTGAAACAACAGCACAATCAGTTTGAAGTTTGATAAATCACACTGTGGGCGTAAAATGATTATATCTGCATATCCTCCGCCCAATATTTTATATGATCCAGTAATCATCATTTAGTCCGGATATTCCTGAAGGTAGACATGCTGATTGGGTTGTGCGTCGCGGCAGCTGTTTAGTTCATCTGACAGACGCAGTYCTCACTGYGCAGTGTCWATAAATCAGCTTTGCACATTGTTTTATACGTAGTAAAGTGTTGATAAATCGAGCCTTACGTCCTGAGGTTGTCAGGAAATTTAGACGTACAGAAGAAAAAAACTGGAAATATATACTAAATACATAATCATTTCACTTAACATTGTGTATTAGTATATAAAACAATA